TCATGTATTTTGTGTCCATAAGTTAAGCGGTTTATTGCAATTCGTGATCCGATTGGGTGTCGACGCCGAGACCCGATTCACATCCGTAGAGCGCATTCACATGTATATCAAAGGACTGACACCTGAACAGGACGTCATCACCACTGAAGCCAATAGAAAACCAATGGATGATAACTGGCCGGCGAGTGGAGCCATCAGTTTCCGAGACGTGTCGATGCGCTACCGGCCCGGCCTTCCGCTGGCACTAAACGGCATTACACTCGACATCCGACCGCAAGAGAAGATCGGGCTCATCGGTCGCACCGGCGCTGGAAAATCGTCGATCGCTTCGGTATTATTCCGTTTAGTGGAACTGACGTCCGGCGCCGTACTCATCGACGGCGTCGACATCGGGTCGGTGCCATTGCGTGAACTCCGGGCCCGCATATCGATCATACCTCAGGACCCACTACTCATCCGCGGCTCCATTCGCAAGAACTTGGATCCGTTGGACGAGTTCGACAGCCCGGCCATTATGACGGCGCTCGACAGCGTTGGGATGCGGCACAGGATCGAGCGCTTGAGGGATGGCATTGAAACGGCTGTCAACGAGACCTCCGGCGCCAACTTCTCGGCCGGTGAGCGACAGTTGCTGTGTATGGCCCGCAGTCTACTGAGAAGGACCCGGATTATGATTCTGGACGAGGCTATGGCCAGAATGGACGGCGGGACTACGAATGCCATACATCAGGCCATTAGGTCGGCGTTTGTTGGCTGTACTGTCATTAAGATAGCCCACCGGTTGGCCACTGTTCGCGACTGTCATAGGGTTATGGTTATGAGTGAGGGACGGGTGGTTGAGTTCGATAGGCCGGACGTTTTAGCCGCTAATCCCGACTCGTTTTTCTCGAAAATGCATTCAAATGTACAACAAATTTGATGATAAAATAGTTAATTAAATTTGATAACTAATGCGATCATTGCGGCAATTTACATAAGTTATAATTTGGATGCAGTAAGTAATTAAATATGAATGGATTTTCAATTTAAATTATACCTAAAATAGAATATTATTGCCAATAATTTATTGGTTTAAATGTGAATATGATTTTAGAAATGGATTTCAATAAGAATATAATCATAATTTTTACAATTTGTTAGGGTTATTAAATTATAAAAGTATTTTGGGTTTTTAAATTGATTAAAATGTTATGATATTTATTATCCAGATGTTTGGCTGTAATTTTAATAAAATATTTTTTAATGCCCAATTAATATTTTCAATAAAATTAATTATTATATAAAATGGATGTTTTGAGATACTTATCTGAGTATTGTATTATCGGTAATGCATGGATTGGATTATCTTTGATAACAACACTTCTACTAATTTATCTGTAAATTATTTTTGTTTATTTTAATATTTTATTTTATAAATTGGTTATAATTTAACAGATATTTGACTCGTAATTACATTTAATTAATTTGTTAATCAATTTTTAAAACAGTTATCATCGGAGGTGTGGTCCTACTTATTGTAAGTCTTATTATATGCTCTTTTTGTGGTGTGTTATCAAAACCAAGTCCTGCGGAACAGAAAGAGATTCGTCAGCAAAAGTTGAAGCAAAAGATCGATGCAATCAAACGGAAACGATAGTCCACTGGAAGTGCATTCAAATTATAAAGTTACAAAATATCGCGTATAATAATCTAAATTTTGTGTCAAATAAAATGTGTTTATTATAAATTTTATTTATTGTTAAATGAATGGCTAATCGTTGAGATAATATATAACAGTAAAGAACAGGAATTTTAATGGATTTCCCAAAACTAATAGGTTTTTAGCCATAAAAATTAATTTATAAATGAATTAATCTATGGATGGCTGCGAAGATCGTTAAACTCTATCCGGTTTAGCACTTTTGGGTGATCTTCGGGAAGTGTTGGGTCTGTCCCTCCAGTCGGTAGTAATCCTCTTCCATAATAGTCTTGAAGGGCTTCATCTGATGACTGGGCGGCGGGTTTCTGATGGACCACAGGATGCTATACAAGTAGCCGAGGAATGGCACACAAAACAGATATATGGCCACAACTGCCAGCAGTGCCGATGAGATATCTTGAAGGGCTTCATCTGATGACTGGGCGGCGGGTTTCTGATGGACCACAGGATGCTATACAAGTAGCCGAGGAATGGCACACAAAACAGATATATGGCCACAACTGCCAGCAGTGCCGATGAGATGACTATAGACGTGTAGAAAATGTTGGGAAACATGAAGGGACTCCTTTTCTCATCATCACTATAAGTGACCACCACTTGTAGTAGGGCTGCAATCAAGTGTTTGATTAACATTTTGCAAATAATTCAAGTGATACACCAGTTGTTAGTATTTATGGGCGAAAAACTCTTCACTCAATTATCGGACACTTTGTGGTTATAAGAGATTTGAATGACTTTTTACAACTGATTTCATGTGAAATACAGTGGTTTAGCGCGCATTGCATTCATTGCCAACTATTGTTGTATTCATTACTGAATGTCTGTCAGATATAACACATGTGTTGAACAGTGTTTGTGTGGATATTGTTTGAGATAATCACTTGATTTGATTCTATGATTAGCTGCCAGTGCAAGGACTGTCCCTTTCAGACCAAACATAGGGCTGCCATGAAAACAGATGAGTCCATAAAATTATGGATTTAATATAATTTATTTAAAACAAAAATATTGTCAAAAATAATATTTATTGTCTGATATTGTAATCCGTTTAATAAAACCGAATATAAAAATCGGAATAAAAGTTCAAAACTTATGAAAAATTTGTTTTATAAGACGTTTTCTATAGGATTACCACTCAATAGGAGTTTTGTTTTGGTTTTCAAAACAAATTATTTTTTGTGAATTAAATGTAAAAACAATTGAATTAAAAGTGACTTTGAATTGAATTTAAGATCAGATTTGTTGTGAAAATGTGTGAAATACTGATCAATGATTTGGTGGAAGAGTTGAGTGAAGAAAATAAGAGACTTTTAAATGAGTTATCATTTGAGAGACAATTGAATNTGGTGGAAGAGTTGAGTGAAGAAAATAAGAGACTTTTAAATGAGTTATCATTTGAGAGACAATTGAATGAAATGTTAGAAAATTTGCGAAAATAAATTTAAAAAAATAAAACTTTGAAAAGGATTTACTGTATATTTCGTTACAATGAGAATTGAAGGTAAGTTTGGTATCATATGTTACACCAAGGTGTTTATGGTTGTTGACAATATCTATCGTTTTACATTTTACAGTATATTCACTTAAATTACAATTTTTAAGAGTAATTCTCAAATGTTTAGTCTTTTGTTCATTTAATCTTAAGTCATTTAAATTACAATCATTTTCAAAACTATTTAAACCTCTTTACAGTCTCAATATATATGGATATAATAATAATAATTTATAAGGTGTAATGTAATTATCATAGTGATTCAGGACATTTTGATTAATTAAATGTTATTGAGTAAATGTAATGTTTGTACCTGTTTTACCATACTTATTTATTTTCTAACAAAATTACTATTTTAATGATTTCACAAACTTTACAAACAGACTATAATTTATTGTTACGCTAACCGACGGGTTGTTGTCGAACGGCTATCGGCGCCCGTAATGGACGCGAGAATATACTGTTGTGTAGATTAACGGACGCCCGCATACACATCATGAACCACGTGGTCGACCGCATTAGCGCCGTCACAAACAGAGCCCCAATTAGTCCCGAATAGATGTAGACGTAATAATTTCGTGTATCATGGTCAATTACACTAGCCATTTGATTTTTGTCAGTCCTGAATGCAAACAATAATTTACAATTTTATAGATTCAGTATATTTGTAATATTAGATCAATAGTGTTTAAAAAATAAATTAACTTAAATAAACTTCCCTGGATCAACTATAATTTATAGTTTGGTAAACAATGTTATTTATATTACACCGTTGTTACTAAACATGGAACCCATTTGGGAGGCTTGGCATTTGAAACCCTATACTATTTTTTTGAACACCCTTGTATGCAATCTACAAATTGTAGCGTTTTCTAAATACAATTATTAATTATTGCATAAATACAATAATATTATATTATAGTACAGTATAGTATAATGAAAATATCGAATTCTTTATATAAAATATAAATCACATTGACCTAGTACAGTATATTTATCATGAAGCTACTGTACAATATAGCTTTTATTTAATATTGACCTAACATAAAATACTACAAATTTACAAGCTTAAACTCCCTACCATTTAGTTAGCCATATATCGGAGTAATGTAATATACCTGAGATATCAATGTCGAGAACAGGGTAATCGTGAACAGTATGGGTCCGGCGCCGGCTTTCAAGTATTCATAGTAGACGTGACCCCCGATAGAGCCCACCTCCCGGTTCTCCTCCTGAATCCTGGACTCATGCGAGTAGTCCTTCTCATCGCCCATAATGTCGGAGACTTCGAAGTTCTTGGTCTGAGCCACAGATGTGGTCCGGGAGTGCTTCCGGACCCCGTCGTTGATCGACTCCGTCACGAGTGTCTCATTAGGGGTTGGGGTCTGTTTGTCGTGTTCGGCCTCCCGTTCCACATCTTTGAGTATAGCCATGAAATAGATTTCCTGGGACTGGAGCTCGTCGTATGAGCCCAACCCCAGGCACCGGCCCTCTGAGCTTAAGACCAGTATTTGTGTGGATTTTCGTATGAATTGGATTTCATGTGTGACTAGAATTCGGATTTTGTCCGACAAGTACTCGACTATACATCTGATGGAAAGGCAGGTTAGAGGACTGGTAGGTGTGTCTAATAACATATGACTATTAATGGCATTACTTATGAAATATATGTTCACAACAGAGGTGTCGACAGCACTCAACGGGTCGTCCATTAGTACGATATCTGAGTTGCGATACAAAGCTCTGCAAAGAATGCATTGTTTTAGTCAATAGGACTGTTGTATAGACTACCGGTGCCATAAATGCCATACCGGGCCAAAGTGATCCTAGCCTTCTGTCCACCCGATAGTGAGACCCCTTTCTCTCCGACTAATGTCTTGTCTCCGAAGGGGATATCTGGAGATCCCTTTCCAGAGCACAAACGTCGACTACCCGTCTATACCGGTGCTCATCGTATTCACTGCCAAACAGTATGTTATTTCTGACACTATTATTGAAACTCCAGGCCTCCTGAGAGGCATAGCTAATGATGCCCACCGTTTGTATACTTCCCTCGAGCACCGGTAGCTCATTAAGTATAGACATGATTAGTGAACTCTATAAACATAATTTATAAAATAATTTAAATTATTAAATTAATTTATTTAATAATCAACACAAACATACCTTTCCCGAACCTACCGGTCCAATCACCGCTAATAGATCCCCAGGTTTTATATTGAATGAAATGTTTTGAATGATTGCATTAGGATTGCCCTGATTACATATAATAAATATTAGCTAGTACAGTATAAATATTGCAATGTTTACTATATTTCATACTTCACTCCATTTGGCGGATATATTATTGACAATAACTTTTGGTTTTGCATTTGTTTTGGGGGAGGCAGCTAAATCACCCAAACCTTTAGTGTTATATGTTTTAGGCTCCATTTCCCCCAATTCCAAGAATGTCTAGATAATATTTTATATATTCTAATTAATTAATATAAGTATAACCTAGATAACACAGAGAAGTATAACACAAAACATAAGACATTCACTTCTTTTATATACCACAGAATACTCGTCTGAATTGATATTACAGTATATAATACTATTTCATATAAATTATTTCGGTTTATATGACATAATTGCCGAATATTGTCATCCATATAATTTTAGATAATTTTAATGCATTTATTGTATGTTTGAATAATTATTTAATTTGAATGAGTAATTTAATTAAATTAAAAATATTTAAACGGTTTATACATTTAATATGATATAATATATGATGTAATAAAACAAAATTTAAACAGAGATTGCATACAATACTTGCAATTGCCATATAATCAATGTATGTACTGCACAGGTATGTGTGAACTGAAAGCTATTCTGTGCGCTGACATGCAATACAAAAGTCATATAACTTACTATTATTGACTATAATTTATTGTCCATACATTGTACTGTGTATATACTTGTTAGTTAATAAATAAATTTATATTATAAGGCATTCATACAGTATTTACTATTTTGAATGCAACTTTTAAATTTTTGCAACTTATTTATACATTTGTAGACTTATTTAGCATAAACTCATAGAAAAACAAGATTTCATAGCATTTAAGTCTATTGAATAAGGGCTCAAATTGTGTATCATTTACCAGAATATTCTGATCAATAGCCCACTTATTATATTCAGTCAATACTTCGCTACATTCCGGTCTATCCATCCAATCGGGGAAATACATCATTAAAACCATAAATTCTTTTAATTTAATTACTTTAGGCTTTAAAACATCATTTCTTGGCTGATATGTTTGTGAACTATAATTTGAATATTACTTTAAAATGAATTGATTGTACAAAAATGCCAAACAGTACTCACGAATACAAATCCATATCAAATATATCACATGCGGTCACCGATAGGCTATATAAAGTGTTTGACAAAATGGTTTACAATGGTTTATTTAGCTTTAAAAATCGTAGAATTGAGCTAGAACAAAATCAAAAATTTTGCAACTATTGTTTTCTGGCACCGATCTATTGGTATGTCCAATTTTATCCAGAAATAATGGGAACGGTAGATATGACTGTCCATCAATAGCTCAAAAACTATAAGATGTAGGTAAGATTTGATTTTTGGAAATTGTGCGCAGTGTCACTAAGAAAAAAGTATTTTCTGGATTTTGAGAAATTTTGCTTTATTGATTTTTAAAAATTCTTTATTTGTGAAATTTTTATAATTTAAAATCCATTAATCTCAGCAACCACGCAATGGATCTGGGTGATCTCCACTTTGTTAGAATTGTCTTTCAAAATACTAAAAGATATTTGCTTGCACCAATACTTTATCTTGTGCACAGAATTTTTTAGATTAAAAATTAATTTTCTCTACGTATTTATTTTATACCTGTTTTATTTTTATATACCTTTACCTGTATTTTCAAAATACAGAGAAAAAATTAATTTTTAATCTAAAAAATTCTGTGCACAAGATACAGTATTGGTGCAAGCAAATAACTTTTAGTATTTTGAAAGACAATTCTAACAAAGTGAAGATCACCCAGATCCATTGGTATTGATTTTTGATTTAACAGTAATAACAAAATAAAATTAAAATACTACATGAGTTACAGTTTATTTTCATAGTCAGATGTTACCATTAAGAACAGGGTTTCTCATATATGTATCATAAATAATATATTAAATAATAAAAATATAATATTTTATCATTATAATATAAGGTCGTACAAATGAAAATAATTTTATAAAAAATTTAAGTAATTGGATAAGAACTACATTAAATAGACGTATAAAATACTTTTTACCGATTTTGTCTACGACTCATAACAAAAAACTTATTAAAGTTTTGCCAGAATGATTTTCACGTGTACGACCTTATATTATGATGCACTTTTACATAAATTCTATTGTATTACAAAACAATAAATAATTTGCTTACTAAATAATTAATTGGACTGGTGAAATTGCTACAATGTCATAAATATTATATCCAGTATACAGTACTGTACATATTTTAATGACAATATAATCACAAAAACAATAATAACTATATTAAATTATAAATAACAAATTTTTAATGAAAATTGTGACAAACATATACTCGTACTAATTATGATGGCCTACAAGTTATTATTTCATAATAAATAGATGATAATTCTAAATATATTCTGTAATGTGAGATAACATTGTTCACAATTGTAAAAATTACTTTTGAAAAAATATTTAATTTGTGAATTGTCTGTCACTTTATAAAAATGAATTATAATTTAAAATTATTTATTAAAGTATTCTTAAAATGTTTGTGTATTTCAGTGCTATTTTATGGGGCAATAGAAGTGACAAAAGAGTACTTCAGTTATCCATATGTTTATACGCTTTCTGTGAAACCGTCGACACGTTTAGATTTACCGCCGATTACTGTCTGTACGGAAAGGGGTGTCATATTTGTTAAAACAAAGATTTTTGATTATTTTAATCTTAGCCGTGAATACGAGGAATACAAACAAAATGTTT